TGCTGCGCGGCGCGGAGCTCAGGCACCCGCCGGGGGCTTCGCTTAACCTGCGTGCCGGCCGCAGCCGCCCTCGGCCCCGTTAGTCCCCACCGGTCTCCGTGCGTCTTCCTCGGTGCGCCGGCGTCTTGTGCGGACGCGTGCCTGTCTCTTCTCGCTCGCCGGACGAGCAGAGGCACGCTCGTGTTCGGGGTCCCCTAACCGAACCGGGGCAGCTCTCCAGTCCAGGGAAGTTGCTACCACCAAAGCTGTGAAAGCAAAACATTTTCAGCTGGTTTTAGATGTGCTTGAACATATATATGTATATTTTTTAATTTAAAGTCAACACCCAGATTTCAGCAGCAGAACTCGGTTCGGCTCCTTGGTCCGTCCCTCGTGCTGGAGCGAGAGCAAAGCGGCACCTCGGCGAGCGGGGACCTCGCGCGAGTCGCTCTGTGCTGTGCGTCCGCGGTGGGGGGGTGGCTGCTGCTGCCGAGGGGCTTCCCAGCGAAGCGAGGACCTTTCCTGAGCCATGTCCTGCTCCAGGCACCCTGCGGGGAGGGCTCTCTTCTCAGAGTAATAGAGAGGAATGATTTCTTCCTGACTACCGCCGGGCAGAAGGCTGATTTCCAAGCCCTCTGCACGCTCACCTCGCTGCAGCTGGTTTCTCTTGCGTGTCGCAAGCGTGCACGAGCCGGGGTGAGCCTTTGAGTTGCGCACGTCTCAACCTCTTTCGAAACTAGCTGCTTCAAACTTGTGTTGAAATCCATGTTTTAGTGTTAGAGAAGATTGCGCATTTCCTTCCTTTTTATGTCAACGATAACTGATTTATTTGTAGAGTGCTCAGCAACTGATTTGTATGGAAGAAAGTTTTATATGCTGGGTCAGCAGAGCTAGTTCCCCAAAGAGCCCGCGGTGTTGTGACACCCGCCTGGTAGCGGGGTAAATCAGATGTGCCAGCGCTCAGTTAAGGGAGTGGAGAGCGTCCCCGAGAGGAGCTCCCGCAGCCGGCCGGTGAACCGGTGGCACCGGTGTGTTGAGGAGCTGCTCGAGTAGGACAGAAGATGCTCCTGGCCCCTTCAAGCCTCGGACGAAATTGGAATTGGAGCGGGGAGAAGGTTATTGTGTGATGGCACCTGGGAAGGCTTGCAAGAGCTGGTGGGACCAAGAGCAGGGTCCTAGAAGCTCACTTTTAGCAGGCTCTTTGCGCTGTGCTGGCTGCAGAGGCTCCTCCAGCTTCCTTCACCCACGGGGTGACCGCAGAAAGGAAGAAGGAAAAGCCAAGGCTGGGGTGATGCGGATTATTTTGGGGAAGAGACTTTAGCAAATGCCTGATCAGGGTCACTTGTGTTAGGATCAAGCTTGAGATGGGGAAACATCTGTGCAGGGTCACAGAATCTGCTGACGTTGCCAGCTCGCCGGCGTTGAGCAATGCGCCTCTCGCGTACTGACGAAGCTTTGGTGCTCTCTCGCGCCCCTCTCCCCAAAGCAAAGTCCCCCTCTGCAGCCCCCGGAGCCAGCTGCAGTTCAGGCCGGCGCTTGTCCCGGCACAGCTGGCGTCAGCCGTGGCTCTTTGGCCCGAGCAAGGGTCGCTAGCTTCTTCCGGGAAGAGCCTTTAAAGTTGACAGCTCCCTCCTCTCTGCCCCCACGAGTTCATTTTCAAACACTCCAGCAAATAAATAAATCAGAGCAAATTAGTTTTGCATGTTGCAATGGAGTGCAACACCCAGCGCTGGTTGAGCAAGGAGGAAGAGTCGGTTCTGGGCACAGGAGCTCAGCAGCCGGCCTCCGCGTGCTGCGCG